CCCCTCTCCCTCACCTGCTCACCCCCACTTCTGCCCTACTGCCCTCACAGGCCATGCCCGAGTTCGACACCAATGATGGGGTGGCTGAAACGGCCGAAATACCCCTCGGACCTAACTCGTTGTTCCACGCCGCGGCCCTCGCGACCCGCCCCGACGACCCCGACCTCGCCGAGTTCCGGGCACCGGAGCTACGGGCCGCCGTCCTCCGGCACCTCGAGACGCACCACCGGCTCTACTCCGCCGAGCTCGCCAACTTCTACCAGAGGTGGACCCAAGGGGCGGAGGCACCCGACCTACCGGCCCTCGTGTTAGAGGTGCGCAGAGCAGCCGAGCGGCAGCCAATCACAGCGCTTTGGTATCGCCTGGGAGCCGGCCCGGCCAGATACCACCCCGTCTGAGGCTAGCCTGCAGGCGAGCCGACGCACGCTACAGCGGAGCCAGTAGTCTCGTTCGGGGTGTCTCTGGCCCAGGCGATACCAGCCCGGAGCTCTGCGCACCTCTCACACGAGGGCCGCTAGCCCGACCCGAGGCCGCTCTGCAGCTGCTCAGGGACCCCGCTACACCTGCAGGTCTCGAGTGCGCCCACCCCCTCGCGGCACTGCTCGCGCGGCCTATCCGAGTGCTCGGCCCGGCCGCGGACACCCTCGCCTACCAGCCCACGGGAGACTGGCCACGGGGCAGGGTTGGCACCATCCGGCTTGCAGCCACCATGGAGGAAGACATCGATGTGCCAGGGCGGACGTACCTGCACTTCGACCTGGTCACTGGACTGGCCCCTGTCATCCACCGCCTGCCCGATGAACTGGAGGAGGTCCCGGGGTTCATCCCCCTCGACGGCAGAGTGGGCCAACCCCCTCGACGCCACCCCCCATCGGCGTCCTCCCGGGACGGCCTCGCGGAAGCCCGTCACCCCACCGCCACGTCCACGACCGCCTCGCAGGCGGTCTCCGCACGCCAGCCACCCCTCCACCCCCATCCCCCACCAAACTTACGTAACGAAGAATTGTAAACATAAAAATAATACAATTTCCTAATAATTAAAGTAAAGTAATTAATACGTAAAATAAGTAGAATCAGAACAAAATAAAGATTAACCAGATAAGAAGGAACAAATGATTCAAGAATGAATTGAATGTAAGAAGTTTGCACAACTGACCACCGCCAGCATCCGAAAACACGTTCCTCCGACAAAAATGGACATTCCCCGAAAGTGAACACCTAGCCGAAAGCGGTTCAAGGAAGGAATGTCCGCAGGGAAATGTCCACTACGAAAATGTCCCTTATTTACTGGGCCGCTTTCAGTATGTCCGGCGTAAAATGTCCGTGACAGCAATGTCCCGAAAATAAAATGTCATTGTCATCACAAGTCCGCATATTAAATGGCCTGTGGGGTATTGTTGGCCGGGCCGGGGCCGAGAAACAGAGGGCCAGCAGGCAGAGGCCTGGCAGAGGTGGCAGGGCTGGCATGGAGCTCCTCCGCTCCAACAAGGGGAATAATCTGCTGGTGGTGAACGGGTTTACCTACAACGAGCACTCGAGGAGCAAGAACGGGAGGAAGATTTACTGGTGCTGCAGTGAACGCGCCTCCTGCAACGCGCGGGTCCACACCAACACTGACTTCGGTGACCTGCAGCTCCTCCAGGATGGCACCAACAAGCACCTGGGGCACATCGAGGACCGCAGAGGGGTCGAGACGCGGCGGGTGATGCAAGGGGTGAAGCGTAAAGCGAAGGAGAACCCGAACGAGGCACCAACAAAAGTAAGAATTTAAAATTGAGAGTAGTTGGTAAGTACTCGCGACGATTGCATCGATTACAACTTGCGGTCGCACAGTTGATTCGCCAGGCCGTTGCGCCCCTCAACGACCCTGAGGTCCTCGCCTGGGTGCCCGCGAGGAACAGCGTGCGTCGGGTCGTCAACCAGCACCAGAACCTGGGCCGGCCACGGAATCCCCAGGAGCTCCAGGACATCATCCTCGACTCCCCCTTCACAACGACAAAGCGTGGGACGCGCTTCCTGCTGTTCGACTCAGGTCCAGGCGATCCTGATCGTGTGGTCGTCTTCGCGGCTGAGAAGAGCCTGAAGGTGCTGCTCGTCAGCGAGATTGTCTTCTCCGACGGGACATTTAAGACCGTCCCGAACCAGTTTGGACAACTGACAACTGTACACGATCCACGGCCTGGTCGCGGACGTGGCGTCGCGACGGTACGTCTTCCCCCTGGTCTTCTGCCTGTGCGTGCGCAAGAACGAGGCAACGTACCGGCCTTTCTGGGAGGCCACCACCGAGGAGGCCACACGACCCGGCAAGAGGTTCCGCATACGCATCATGATGACGGACTTCGAGCTGCCCGCCATCAATGTCCAGCGCGCTATGTTCCCTGACGTCCAGCACAAGGGCTGCCTCTTTCATTTCAACCAGTCGCTGTGGCGGCAGGTAATCATTTCTACGGTTCTACGCTTTCTACGTGCTGGCCAGCCACTCTGCAGGGCCTTCACGGGAAATTTTTCGTTGCTCTGCAGGGTGATTCTCAGAATACGGGCCGTTTAGATTCCGCGGCCCTTCACAACTATGTGATATAGTTTGAAAAGGTTTTTATACCATCTAGATACTCGAAAGCACTAATACTACCTGGTGCAACACTAACAAGCTGGGCCCGCTCTTCCGCCAAACCAAGTTGCCAGCTCCGCTTCGCTCCACCGGCAACTCGGTTCGGCAGGGAGCGGGCCCAGCTTGGCCTGCCGGCGGCGTTTGGGACGGGCCTTCGGCCCGTCCCTTCTGAATTTTTATGGTGTAATACATCTTCTATCCGAAAACGGGCCTTCGGCCCGTTTGAGTGACGGCTCGCTTCGAACCATCTTTTTGCCAGGTACCTTTTCTGTCTACTTGGTAAGTAAAACTCAACAAACGAAGTACTCTTTTCATACGCTGAACATCTTTGGCTGTGTGTGCCGCAGTTTGTAGAATACATGCAAGTTATGCCGAAATTTTAAGTTATTGATGTTAGCTTATGAATCCAATACCACACCTATGAAAATGTACATAGACTAGACCTAGAAGTTAAATATACTTCCAGGCATACTCTGAATGACACCGAACGTGTTCAAACAACAAAAAACAAAATGTTTTTTTTTTTTTTTGCATGAAAGTGTACACGTTTTATTAATGATGTGCCACCATAAAATAAGCCCACTCTTCTGCTGAGAAGAAAATTTTGAACCGGCCACATACTTCTCGGTAGGGTTGGTCGATTCGATTCCGATTCGAATCGAAAATCGATTCCACGTGTCGATTTTCGATTCGAATCGGAATCGATTCCGCGCATCAGGAGAATCGAAAGAATCGATTCTCGGCGTCGATTTTCGATTCTTTAAAAATCGACTTCTTTTGAATCTGCGCGCGCCGCGCGCCTCGCCTGGGCCGGCCGCAGGCGCAGCCGCATAGCGCCGTCTTGGCGCGCGCATGCGCAGTCGAAACGCTTTCTCTCGTCTCGCCAAAAGTAAACACAAAACCAGCACGCCAGCTCGCCGCAAGCAAGGATACGTACGAAGATTTTGATCTAATGACACGATGGCTCCTAGTCCAGTGTGGTTATATTTCTCAAAGTATACTGAAGGTAGTGCTAAAAAAGCAAAGTGCAAGAATTGCGGTACTGTGTTCACGTATTGTAACTCAACATCAAGTTTGGCCAAGCACCTTCGGGACATACACAAGGTAGACCTTGAGTTAAACAGACCAAAGTCCAGCAAGCGGCCTCGGACTAACAGTGATAACGTGGAGACTGCTGAAAATGAAGATGATATTATCTTCGAGTCGCAGCCCTCGTCATCCGCAACCCAGGTGTGTATTCGACCGACTCTAGAAACATAACCTCACTTTCGACAGTGAGCCGCTGCGGGGCCGGCGCGGCGGCGGCGGCCCGCGGCCGCGGCAGGGCTGGGCAGGGCTGGGCAGCCTCCTGGCAGCCGCGGCAGCCCGGCGTCGCGGTCGTGTCTTTGAGAAGTGAAACACAGACTTCCTTCGCCGTCACGCAATTACTATCATTTTTCAGCGTCGCCTGTTCGTTAATCTTGCGTTCTGTTAAATTTGCAGTCACGGGAGTCATCTGGGGGCGCTGTGGACACCGATCTCATGTCCCCACCGACCCCTATAAAAATGAAACGAGTGCGGTGCGAGTGCGGTGCGAGTGCAACTCGAGTGCAATTCGAGTGCGGCATCGAGTGCGGTGCGAGTGCGGTGCGAGTGCGGCCCGAGGGCAGAACGAGTGCGGTGCGAGTGCACCCCGAGTGCGCCCCGAGTGCGGGGCGAGTGCGTCGCGAGTGCGTCGCAAGTGCGTCGCGGGTGCGTCGCGGGTGCACTGCGAGTGCGTCGAGGTTTGCAGTTCGGCAGCAAGGAAAAGACTGGGCGGGGCGGCGCGAGGGACGGCACAAATACTCAAGACAATTATTAATGTTTTTCTAGTCCTCACACATGCTATGTCAAAGCCTGAGGCGACAAAATCATGGTTCAGAAGGCAGTAGTTTTGTTTCCCCAGAGGTCAGTAGAGCGTTTGGCATGAATAAATTACAACGTAGGAGTATACGTGCAGCAGCCCGTAGTGGCTGAGCGTTAGTCGTTAGTGTGCTAAAATTCTCAGATTTAACGTTTAAAAGAACACGGTAATGTGTGGATTGAAGGGCAGGACGCAGCGGGTGGGAAAACGTGAGGGTAAGGGGGGAGGGGGGGAGGTAATGTTTGAAAATGACCAAGTGTAAAAATGACACTCAAAATCGAAATGGTAAAGTTATTCGCATATTCCATTCTGTATTTTTCGTTTTTAATGTAAACGAAAATGCCTTATGCTCAGAACCTATAAGAGTCGAAACAGCACAGTTATTGTTCCCCAAACTGACAAAAGTGCCAAATAACCACCAAATTG